ATTCTGCATCCTAGAATATTTGTTTTCTTGCATCTATTTCAAAAAGTCCAAATCTTGATATCTCACAACCCATATGTAATCCCACTTCATTTTTGTTCTGCCAACCTCCATTCACCCATGGGCTTTTGTATCACATTTCTACTAATTCACTTAATTTTTAAAAATTTTTAACAACCTAAATTTCTTAAGTTTTATGCTTACTTTCAAGTACTCAGCCATGCTATCCATTTTCCACCTTCATAGTACATTTCATCAGTCCTTATATTATTATTTTATTTATGAGGCTAGAACTAAAACCAGAGAGGTCATGCCGAGCCCTGAGGAATGGGAGGCAGTAGTATTCAATTCAAGAAAAGTGAGGATAGCTTCAACTCACTGGATCAAGTCCCTCACTGACATCAAGGCACCTTTGAGAGGTATCACCAGTTCCTACAGATCCACACACAAATTGTCGTTGTAAGCTCCTCTCTTCTATGTGCGGGTTATTTGTGTATTGTTCCAGTCACGGTATTGTGCCTTTTTTTCTATTTATTCCTACAGATCCACTCATCCTGAAAATTAAAACCATCCTTTGCTCTCCCCTGTCTTTACTTTTCCATGTTTGCAATAAGCAGGATACCTGCAAGCTATTTTTCGAGATCAATGCCCCTTTGGCCCAATCCCAGACCAGGTCTGGTGGATCAAGGCTTGATCAACCAGGCTGTTACTGCTGGCTGCAGACAATCACTCTTGAAACAGAAAGGGGTCTGGTGATACACCCTTTATAATTACTGGTTATCTGTTAATGTATTCATGGGGTCCCAACTTTTCACTGGGGTATATTGTACCATCTGCCACACCACTTGCTTTTGTGGTGTGTGATTTCTGGATGCTGATTTCAGACCAGACTTTCCAAGTTTTCAAAAGTATTTATCAACCTCTTCCAATACTTCACTTGAATGAATGAAACTGTTAATTAATGAAAGTTCCATACTGCTTGTGTCATACATTTATTGTGCTGGTACTTCAGACCTCTACTCACAGACTTCATTATTCATTTGACACTACTCTTTTTTTTTTTGTCAGCGATCTGAAAAATATGAGAAAATTCTATTGTCTTATGCTCTGCCTTTCAGAGACCATCATCATTTTCTTTTACTGTGCCTGTTTGAATGAACTTTTTACTAAATACAGCAATTTCCTATGCGCAATTAACTATTTCCAACTATGGGAGCAGAGCTATGCTCATGGCATATGTGGTGGCAGTTTTCCACAAAGGCAGGGTAACCAAAGGAGAACACACGAAATTACTTGATCCTTAGCCATCTTCCTTTAAAGACATATATGCAATCTAATTATGACCCACAGAGTTGCAATAAAGACACTGGTAGCAGAGACTCCTTTTAACATCTTTCACCCACGACTGGGTTTTATCACCAGCCTACGGCAATCTGGACTTTTGCCATTATTTACCTATGACCCCCCAAACTGAATTTAGTAGTCAGTGTTAAGCCATACACAAATGTGGAAGTCAAATTTTATAACATATATGCTTGTCACCCTGCTTCGGTGAGAGACAGCCGACTTGTTAAAAAAAAAAAAAAAAGTTTGTATACCTTCTTAGTTCCTGGGTATAAAAGAAGAGTATATAAATCTGGGGTAAAAAGGAGGAGTAGGGGTCATCTGAGGAAAGGTAGATTTGGAGTGCTAGGGACTTGAACACCCAGCAAGCTTAAGTGAGCACTTTAGATCAGAGTGGAAGCAAATGGCTTTTGTGACTTGTATTGTTACAGTGAAAGCAAACTAACATTTATGAAGGGGTTCAGGGAAATCATTTAGTCAGATTTGCATTCTGAAGGTGGGAATTAGTGTCTGCACACTAAGGGTAGAGCATGTTGTAGTTCGGAAGGTCGTTTGAACTGATGCCAGATACTTCTGGCAAGACAGCAATTGAATGAATGATGGTGAGTTTTTTATTTTCTCAGACACTCTACTTTGATGAAAGAAAGTCCATGTTTTAAATAAAATGAATAAAATGTGTGTAGTAAGAAATTTACTGGCTTTATGAACCAGATATGTAAAATGTCAGTGTTGTAAGAATACAAATTCAGTGAAACCCATTTTCTGACCTTAAGGTCTGTACCTACACCCTGAAGGATGAATGAGGATATAGCAGTTTGGAAGGTCACTTAAACTGTGCTATCTGCATATTTCTGGCAAGACAGTTTTTGAACGAGCGATAGTGAACGAGTTACCTTCTTTGGGTCACCCTACCTTTGTGGGGAGCAGCCAATGTAACAAAAAAAAAATTATTTGAATTAGGTGGACCTGCCTTCTATACCAGGACGAAACCTTTCTGACTGGCCTAAGATTATCTTGCAAAAATATTTCATCACCTTGGGTAACATTCCAATAGCCACAACTTCAGCAATATCTATACCTACACCCCCTCCTTCCTCTAAGCCATACCATACTCGCATTTTTTTCCACCAAGAACATTGTCCAATATACTTATTAATCATCTAACTTTCTTATTACAAAGTAATTTTGTAATTTATTCATTTTAGTCTGCTCTCTTTGTAATTTTTTCCCTCTTTACCATTTTGCTGCCTACAAGGTCTTTCCCAGCTTATGTACTTTCTCTGTCACCACCCACAAATATGCCACTGGTAAGACACAATGCAGTGTCATGTACCCCAGGAACACCAAGGTCAGCTCAACTGACATGCCACATTCATATTTAGGATATTCATCAAATCAGATAAAATGCAACTTACACCTAAAGTTAATAAAATGTTATAAGTTGCATTTTGGAAAGGAATTATAAATAAAATCCTGCACAGATCAAGAATAAAAAAAAAAACTGGAGAAAAGACAACTGCCCAGGAGAGCAAACTAACATCAACTTTATAGGTTCCACCTTGAGGTGGAGACGGACATGACTTCCCTCTGTAGTGGTAGGATACCTTTATCCCAAAGTGTAATAATCCCCCAAATATACTTTCACAGAGCTTTGTAAAGTTTCTGGTATTCACATCATTGGATACAATACTGACGTGCATCTGGTAAGACAATGATAGTGTGAATATTGGCGAAAGTTTTTCTTTTTCAGATCGCCCTGCCTCAGTGGGAGACAGCCAACATGTTAAAATAAAAATTTTTTTTTTTTCAACAAAGCAGGCATATCCCACCAAGGCAGAGTAACCTAAAAAAGAAAAATTAAAGTATTGAGTAATTTATAGAGGTGTTACTAGTCCCTTGCTCCTGGCATTTTAGTCGCCTCTTTTTCAACAAACTGGCCGTATCCCACCAAGGCAGGGTGACCCAAAAGAAAAGAAAACTTTCACCATCATTCACATAATCACCATCTTTGCAGTGGCGCTCAGATACGACAGTTTAAATGTCACTCCAAACAGCCAATATTCCAAACCCCTCTTTTAAATTGCAGGCATTGTACTTCCTACCCCCAAGACTCGAGTCCGGTTAACCTGTTTCCCTGAATCCCTTCACAAAATATTACCCTGCTCACATTCCAACAGCTTGTCAGGTCCCAAAAACCATTCATCTCCATTCACTGTCTAACACACTCACACATGCCTGCTGCATGTTGAAGTCCCTTACACACACAACTTCTTTTACCCTCTCCTTCCATCCTTTCCTAGGATGACCCCTACCCTCCCCCCCCCACTACAGATTTATACACCCTCCAAGTTATCCTATTTTGCTCCATCCTCTCTAAATGACCAAACCACCTCAACAACCCCTCTTCATTATTATTATTACAATCAAGGGGGAAGCGCTAAACCCGGAGGATTATACAGCGCCTGGGGGGGGGGATGTGGAAGGCATTCAGGCTTAATTTGGGGAACTGGAGCACAGATCCAATTCCCTAAATCAAGAGCCCCTCACCAACATCAACCCCTCTTCAGCCTTCAAAACAATACTTTTAGGAACTCCACACCCCTAATTTCCACACTATGAATTCTCTGCATATATACACTACACATTGCCCTTAGACATGACATCTCCACTGCCTCCAGCTTCTTCTTTGCTGCAGCATTTACAACCCATTCTTCACACCTACGTAAGTGTTGGTACCCCTATACTCTCAATCATTCCCTCCTTTGCCTCCATGGATAACGCTTTTTGTCTCCACAGATACCTCAATGCGCCACTCACCTTTTTTCCTTCATCAGTTCTATGGTTAACCTCGTCATTCATAAACCCCACTGATAAGTCTACTCCTAAATATCTGAACACGTTAATCGTGTCATTATGATTTCGTGAGTCATCTGAACACATTCACTTTTTCCATACTCTCTCCCTCCAATTTGATATCCAAATTTTTTTTTTTACCTAGCTCGTTTGATACCCCTCATCACCTTACTCTTACCTATGTTCTCTTTCAACTTTCTCCCCTTACACACTGTCCCTAACTCATCCATTAACCTTAGCAACTTCTCTTTAGAATCTCCCAAAAGCACAGTATTGTCAGCAAAAAGTAACTGTGTCAACTCCCATTTTTCAAAATTAAATCATTGCTTTATCAAATAATTCTGAATAGATTACAATTCCAGCAAATACAGAAAATAAATTGTGTTAATTGAGTGAAAGCAAATACCTAAAACAGTACTGAGAACTTGTGTATCAAGAGAGATAATGAGAAAATTATTTTGGCATGCATTTATAGTTATTTAAAAACTTAAAGAAATTTTGAAATATTAATGTAAAACAATTGTTTTACATATACATATAGTGTGTCAACAGTCAAATAATATTCATTTCCCAGCATGAACAGCCTAGGCAAAAATTTGAAAGAAATATCCAAAATTGTAAAAGAATCATGAAAACAATTTTCCAGCAGGCTTATATGAAGTAAGTAAAATGTAAAAAGAAAAAAAGAAAAAAAAATCCTGCTGCATGTGTAACAGTTTAAGTTTTTCTATTGTAATTTTGTAGATGCAATGATCGATATCAAGATTTAAATTCACTACAAAATTCAACAAAACAGTCCATCTCACCAGACTCACCGAGGTGTCCTTCTTCCGCTTTCCCAACTTTATCTTCAAGGTAGGGACTTTGCCACCCTTCTTGGCCTTACTGTCTCCAGTGACGGTGCGTTTACGACCTCGTTTTTTCTTGCCGACTCCTTCACTGTCTTCATCAAATTCTTCTTCAGCTTCATCATCTACTTTAGACTTTCTAGGTCGTCCCCTACCCTTTGGGGTTATCTGGCGGTGTTAAATTCAGTTACATTCAGCTAATTTTCATTTAACTTTCATACAAATTTCCTTACAGAGGAGCTCAAAATCTTTCGGTATAATAGTTCTTCACCCTTTCAACAAAAGACCCTAGTCCATACTATATTAAAGCTAATATATACCTCCTTTTAAAACACCAACCATCTCAGCCAAGCACTAGACAAGCCTGGCCCAGGGCCAGGCTGCAAAAGTTGGAAAACTCTTGAAACCCTTCAAAGGTATATAAATTGTAGGGTAGGGTGACACATAACAGGAAACCTATTCACCATCATTCATCAGCCATTTTGCTTGATAATACCAGAGACGGACAATTGTGGAAAGTCATACTCTCATACTAATGCAATAATTTCTTGCTCAATCTTCAAAAAAAAAAAAAAAAAAAAAAAAAAAAATGGCCAGCCTATCTAATGTGCATTTTAGGTGCCAGGATGACTTGGTAATGCAAAAGTCAGTTATGAAGAGTAAGTAACCAAGTGTTAGTGCAAAAACACCCATGACAGATCGAAACTGAAGAGGAAACAAACTGCAATATAAACTCTACTATTGGCCAAGATAATACCATAGAAACGTTCAACCCCACTGCTGACTGGCTCAGACACTGTTCAAATGGCAAGCTACCACATCATTGGTTGGCTAAGGCCCACCCACGCACACTGACAGTAATAATAATAATGATAATACAGTAATAATAATAAGACTATTTCTACAAGTACATGTTACAATTACTGTATTACAGACCTAGCTGACATCACTGGCATGCTGCTGTATATAGAAAGCCTCTGGTTATGCAGAGCATTTCAGGCAACTTAGGTTAATCTTGTTTACCAGGATGCAACCTCAAAACAGTTGTACCATCATACGTGTATTGTATCTCGAATATTTCATCACAGTTCAAAATTAAATTCCTCTACAAGAGTAAATTGTAACTTATTAATGTAACTTAAGGGACCACTGTATTTAAATTTGTCGACTTATTGTCTCCAGGCTTTAAGGTAGTAACAAAATGGATCAGATACTTCAGATTATATTTCTTGTTAGTCCATCCCATCTGCTGACGCTTTTGTTAGTACTTCATGATAAATATTAAATAAATGCTGAATCCCCCTACCTGAACAGGCTCTGGTTCTGGTTCCTCCTCTTCAACAACTTCTTCCTCTTCCTCGTCCTCCTCCTCATCGTCCTCCTGACCACGAGCAGTGAATTCTCTCCACTTGGCAGCGACCAACATCATAAGTTTTGACACAGGTACCTAAAGAAACCAAAATCCAGCTTTTCTGAAAATCCTGACCACTGAAAAATATTAAAATTTTTTTTGTATACAAGGTAAACCTTGACAAAGAATAAACGTAGTATATTCAAATTACACAAAGACAATCTTGACTTTTCAAGTATTATTCCACACAAAGTATCCTAAAAGTAACTTCTCACCCTAGGATTTTCTTTGGCCAATAAAGGTCGTACATGCTGCTGGAAGAGTTTGTAAGTGGTCAAAGTCTGGTAGTCATTCTCAGTATACTCCAGCTCAACATCATTCAGACCAAAACTTTCACAAACCTCTGCCACTGTTGGCATCTGATCACCACCACCTGCAAGTAAAATGGTTCAGCATATCTTGATGGTCTTCAAAATTATATTTCAATCACAACATGAAACCATCCCAGCAGCTCAGGTGACAAACTTCTCAAACATCAGTATAACAAATCTGAACATGTAATAATGCTAGCACACATATACAGTATAAAAGATAAAAGCCAATCTTGCTGACCACTCTCTTGTGAAGCTGCTGGTACAAGAGTAGCAGAGTGACGTCCACGTGATTTTCCTCTTCCTCGTCCTCTTTGGGTTTCCTCTTGGTAATCAGAGTCAACTCTGCCACTATCATCTTCAAATTCTCCTTCCTAAAGAAAATTTATTCTTGCTACTTATGTTGCATAAATATTTTCTTTAGTAATGTACAGTATTTAGTATATCCAATCAATAGTTTCACAGAAAAATAAATTTATAAGCAACTGCTGTAGTACTCAAGGGTGACATTTAAGTCTAATTTCATTAATTATGTCATTAGCTAATGTAATTTTATTCAGCATTACACGTGATAAAAAAAAATGACGAAATGTGAACAACTTCTGAAGTACATTTTTCACACTGTTTCAAGAAACAGGTTAAAAAATGTGCATGTATAACACTATATAATCTTTCACCATCCAAAACAAAGGAGAGGCAAAGGGTTACTTACTAGTACCTGTGAGATCATCATTATTATTACTGTACTCTTATTAGGGATGGGACTACTAAACTTTTGCTAATACCAATCCACTAAGTCCTGCATATAATGGACTAACTGGGGGGAAACTGGATGGCATCAAGATTCATCCCTTGAGGTCAGCTACCAATGCAGAGTTGTTCTCATGGTGCTTAAGTTTAATCTATCATAAGTTATCAAATTTCCAGTTGTTTATTACTTTTATCTCATTCCAGTGCTGTACTGCACATCAAGAAAAATTATAGTATCCTTCCAAATAAGAGGATATGATCAAAAGATACAAAATACTATGGGGCACATTACTGTATTACATTTGAAAAGTAGCACCAAACCTGCATGGGTCATACAGTGCAACATCTGATGAAGGGAAGGTAACACTATTCTCATCAGGTGGCATCGGGGATTCAATCCCCATTGGAATAGCAGAAGATAGAGTATTTATTTTTGATATACAGTAGGGGGATGCAACAAGAATAAGAATGCATTGTTGGAAATTACATGCCCAAATAAGTCACAAGGATAGAGGAACCATTTCTTCAGCATATTCCAAAATGTTGCAGAAAGAAAGCTAATTCACATCAGCTGGCAAAAGTAATGAAGTGAAACTACAAGATAGGGCTACCCCCTCTCCCATAAACTTGAGTAGGTAGTTAACAATAGGCAGGAAATCGCATACTGTATATAAATGAAATTACAAACTGGTAAATCACTTACACTTTCACTTTCATCTTTCTTCTTTCGTTTCTTTCGAGCCCGTTCACCCCGTGATGACTTCCTTTTCTTGCTCTTTTTTCGCTTTCGTTTCCCACCCCCCCATTCTTCGTCTTGCTCCTCTTCATTTGAGTCTCCTTGTTCCTCTTCTCCATCATCCCCATCTCCCTGCTCCTCTTCTTCCTCTGTAAAGAGAAGTGGCATAATTAAGTTTTAAACCAAATATAATAAAACAAACCCAGCAATTAATGTTGTGAGCAATGACTTCCCTGCCTTCAAAATAAGTTTTGATTTACACTTGCATAAAAGAAATATTATGGAATTTTTACCAGGGAGAACAATTTGATCAATGAATATCAACACTGTTTTAGAAAGGGGGTGTTCTTGCCTTGCAAATTTACTAGCCTTTTCAATAAGTTTTTTAAGGTACAGGTACACTAAGTACAATAATCATACATAGCAACATTCATGTAAATTACCTAGGATAACCCAAAAAAATCAGACAAGTGATCTATTTCCGATGGGATCCTTTTACTAAGGTATTCGAGGCAGAAGACCAAGATAAAGAATACAATACATATTGTGAGTATGGACTTCAGCAAGGCCTTTCATAGACTTCCACACAGGAAACTGATAAAAGGAAGTAGCAGTACATGGTATGCAAAACATTATCACCAGGGTTGAGTCATGGCTGACTGGTAGGCAAAAGAGTGTGCGCAGAGTGTGCGTGGTGTGTGTGTGTGGTGTGTGTGTGGTGTGTGTGTGGTGTGTGTGTGGTGTGTGTGTGGTGTGTGTGTGGTGTGTGTGTGTGTGTGTGTGTGTGTGTGTGGTGTGTGTGGTGTGTGGGGTGTGTGTGGTGGTGTGTGTGTGGTGTGTGTGTGGGTGTGTGTGGTGTGTGTGTGGTTGTGTGTGTGTGTGTGTGTGTGGTGTGTTGTGTGGTGTGTGTGGTGTGTGTGTGTGGTGTGTGTGGTGGTGTGTGTGTGGTGTTGTGTTGTGTGTGTGTGTGGTGTGTGTGTGTGTGTGTGTGTGTGTGTGTGTGGTGTGGTGTGTGGTGTGTGTGTGTGTGTGTGTGTGTGGGTGTGTGTGTGGTGTGTGTGTGGTGTGTGTGTGTGGTGTGTGGGTGGTGTGTGTTGTGTGTGTGTGTGGTGTGTGTGTGTGGTGTGTGTGTGGGTGTGTGTGTGTGGTGTGTGTGTGTGTGTGGTGTGGTGTTGTGTGTGTGGTGTGTGGGTGGTGTGTGGTGTGGTGTGTGTGTGTGTGTGTGTGGTGTGGTGTGTGGTGTGTGTGTGGTGTGTGTGTGTGGTGTGTGGGTGTGTGTGTGTGTGTGTGTGGTGTGTGTGTGTGGGGTGTGTGTGGGGTTTTGTGTGTGTGTTGTGTTGGTGTGTGGTGTGTGGTGGTGTGTGGTGTTGTGTGTGTGGTGTGTGGTGTGTGGTGGGGTGTGTGTGGTGGGTGTGTGGTGTGTGGGGTGGTGTGTGTGTGGTTGTGTGTGGTGGGTGGGGTGTGGTGGGGTGTGTGTGGTGTGTGTGTGGGGTGTGTGTGTGGTGTGTTGTGTGTGGTGTGTGTGGTGTGTGTGTGTGGTTGTGTGTGTTGGGGGTGTGTGGGGTGGTGTGTGTGTGTGTGTGTGTGTGGTTTGTTGTGTGTGTGGTGTGTGTGTGGTGTGTTGTGTGGTGGTGTGTGTGTGTGTGTGGTGTGGTGTGTGGTGGTGTGTGGGGTGTGTGTGGTGTGTGTGGGTGTGTGGTGTTGTGTGTGTGTGGGGTGTGGGGTGTGTTGTGTGTGGGGGTGGTGTGTGTGTGTGGTGTGTGTGGTGTGTGTGGTTTTTGGGGTGGTGTTGTGGTGTGTGTGGGGTGTGGTGTGGGGTGGTGTGTGTGGTGTGTGTGGTGGGGGTGTGTGTGGTGTGTGGGGTGTGTGTGTGTGGTGTGTGTGTGGGGTGTGGGGTGGTGTGTGGTGTGGGGTTTGTGTGTGTGGGGGGTGGGGTGTGGTGTGTGTGTGTGTTGTGTGTGTGGTGTGTGTGTGGTGTGTGTGTGGTGTGTGTGGGGGGGGTGTGTGGGGTGGGGGGTGTTTGTGTGGTTTTGTGTGTGTGGTGTGGTGTGGGGTGTGTGTGTGGTGGTGTGTGTGGTGTGTGGGTGTGGTGTGTGTGTGTGTGTGTGTGTGGTTGTGTGGGTGTGTGTGTGGTGTGTGGGGTGTGTGTGTGTGTGTGTGGTGTGTGTGGTGTGTGTGTGGTGTGTTTTGTGGTGTGTGTGTGGTGTGTGTGTGGTGGTGTGTGGTTGGTGTGTGGGTGTGTGTGTGGTGTGGTGGGGTGGTGTGTGGTGGGTTTTTTTTTTTTTTTTTTTTTTTTTTTTTTTTTTTTTTTTTTTTTTTTTTTTTTTTTTTTTTTTTTTTTTTTTTTTTTTTTTTTTTTTTTTTTTTTTTTTTTTTTTTTTTTTTTTTTTTTTTTTTTTTTTTTTTTTTTTTTTTTTTTTTTTTTTTTTTTTTTTTTTTTTTTTTTTTTTTTTTTTTTTTTTTTTTTTTTTTTTTTTTTTTTTTTTTTTTTTTTTTTTTTTTTTTTTTTTTTTTTTTTTTTTTTTTTTTTTTTTTTTTTTTTTTTTTTTTTTTTTTTTTTTTTTTTTTTTTTTTTTTTTTTTTTTTTTTTTTTTTTTTTTGGTTGTTTTGTTGGGGGTTTGGTTGTGGGTTGTGGTGGGGGGGTTGTTTGGTTGGTGGGGTTTTTGGGGTTTTTGGGGTGGGTTTTTTTGGGGGTGGGGTTGGGTGTGTGGGGGGTTTTTGGGGGGTTTGGGTTTGTTGTTGGGGGGTGGGGGTTTTTTGGGGGTTTTGGTTTTGGGTTGTTTTTTTGGGGGGGTTTGGGGGTTGGTGGTTTTTTTTTTGGTTTTTTGGGGGGGTTGGGGGGTGGGTTTTGGGGTTGGGGGGTTTGGGGTTTGGGGGGTTGGGTGGGGTTTTGGTGGTTTTTGGGGGGGGGGGTTTGGGGGGTGGGGGGGTGGGGTTTTGGTTTTTGGGTGTTTGTTTTTTTTGGTGTGGGGTTTTTTTGGGGGGGTGGTGTTGTGTTGTGGGGGTTTTGGGGTGGTGGGGGTTTGGGGGGGGTTGGGTTGGGGGTGTGTGTGTGAGGGGGGGGTTTTGGGTTTTATTGGGGGGTGTTGGTTGGTGGTGTTTGGGAGGGTTTGTGGGGGGGTGTGATTGTTTGTTGTGGGTGGGTTTGTTTGGGTTTTTGGGGGGTTTGGTTGGTGGGGGTTTTTTGGGGTTGGGGGGGGTTGTTTTGTTGGGGTTGTGTGGTGTGGGTGGGTTTTGGGGGTTGGGGGGGTTTTGGGGTGTTTGGGGGTTGGTTTTTGGTTTTGGGGGGGGGTTGGGGGGGGGTTTTGGGGGTTTTGGGTTGGGGGGGGTTTGTTTGGGGTGTGGGGGGGGGTGTTGGGTGTTTGGGGTGGGGGTGGGTTTGGGGTTTTTTTTTTTTGTTTTTTGGGGGGGTTTTGGGGTTTTGGGTTGTTGGGGGTGGGGGGGGTTGGGGGGGGGTTTTCTTACCCTCCCTTCCCAATGCTTTTCGCCGCCCGGGGCGTGATACGTTGCTGACAGGAGGAAACAGTGTCTTAAAGTTGTTGCCGAGACTGTACCGTACCTTCCAGGTCGAGCCTCGTCCCAAAAAGCGTCGGCCCCAAGCGCTGTGCTCCGGGGGTTTCGTCGGCCCGTCTGCCTTCAGTTTGGTAGACAACCCGTGTGGACCGCTCATGAGTCCACTGCCCCCCTAACCTGTCCCGCTTTTCCTAGATACAGGTTCGGTGGTTAAATTTCCGCTCCATCTTTTTCCCAGACATTGGCCTTCACGGCCATGTTGACGAGCCGTCTGTCATTCAGACCTTGAAAGGAGTCTCAGGTAATCCGCTGACGGGTTTGTGGTGACAACGTTAGAATTTGCGGTCCAGGGTCACAAGCTGTCCCCAAAATTTTTGGCGTAATAGTATTGTTTTCCATGTGACCCGTCATTTGGGTTCAAAACCATGGCGACCTTAGGTCCGCTTAGATCCCTGAGTGGAAAGCAAATTTAAGGAGGGATGTGCCCCTTTTGGGGGGGTGCGCTTAGGATCCACTACGGCTACTCTGTCTAGAGTTTCCAGTGCCGGAATCGTTGGGGAAAACCGGGGTTTCCATAGCACTTCTCCCCGGGGGCGGGCTCTTTGTCCGATCGACCTCGTAGTAGACCCTTGCCGTCACCCCCCTGGCCCAGCGCTTTGTTAATGAAACCCAGTCCCGGGGGACGCCCATCTAACCTTTACTTAAAACTTGACCCTGTTGTAGAGAACACAGTTGTCAAGCCCCGTTCCCTGTCGGAGGCGACTGTCTGACTCGTGTCATGGCTCAGCGAGCAGAGTTACTGCTTTTACAAAGTAGAAGTCATTTGTCAGCTAACTGCTCACTCCTTTACGGGGGACGTGAGCAGAGCTTTTGAAAGGGGGAAACCCTGTGCTGGTTACAGCGCAACCCAGTCAAGGGCCTTCCCTTGAACCTCCTTGCCAAAAAAGTGCAACGTGGAATTGCAAGTCCCTGTTGTAACATGCATAGTCGAGAAATTTTTCCCCGCGGGAAAAAACCTCACTTGTGACCTTGTCAGATTCCCCCTCCCCGTGGGTGGGGTGAACCCCCCTACTTCCTTTAGTGCAGTTTTTCCCCGGGAGTCTGCGCTGACCTTTTCCAACACCCGGCCCGTGCAGGAAGATATCTAGCTTTGACAGCATCCCGAAAGGTCCCAAAAAATTCAGGTTCTCAAACGTGCACGTCTGCAGTGCCTAGATGGGGAGTCAAAGGGTTTTGACCCCCACTGATCTCTCACCGTATTTCCCCTTGACAAAAGGGACAAACCCATTTATGTACCGCGTTTCGACTGCCACATGCGCAAAGGTCTTCGCCGAAGAAACCCTTACACGGACTCCCTATGGGGTTTTGAGGAGTCCACTTCCCCGTGGGAAACCCCCCTTTTTCTGGTCCCCCAAAAAAGATGGAAACCCGGGGCCCTGTTTCGATTTCAGAAATGAATGCAGTCGATCCCCCCCTGTCACCACTGTTATTGCTGTTTTTACTGCTGAACCGGTTTGTGCCCATGAAGGTTTGGTAGGAGCAAAAGAAAAGGCCCTGGATAGTTTTTGGGTTTAAGGGTAGGGGACACAACGGGCAGTGTGAGGGGTGACCCCAAGCCATCCGTGGGGGGCAGCCC